TTTAAGGTGATTATACACTCATGACAAATGAATGCAGACTTGATGGTTATCTTAAGTTCCAAGTGTGTGTAAGTTGTTTTTTCTGCGGTACTGAAATAAATTAAATCCAATGGATGCCTGGAAAGGCAGCAAAATAATGACAAATTTCCAAATAATTAAGTATTTTATGGGCTAAAACATTCAAAACACCTGGTACGGTCCACCAAAACACAATTCAGTGACAGTAGCCATTTTCTAGATTACATCTGTCTTCATGGCTTTTGACATTTTTTATTCCACAAAGGAAAACATAAACCTATTAAACAAAGACATTCGAAACAATTCCTGTTTTCAAATGATGCGCCTACAGAGCACATTTCACCTCCTGTGCACAGCGCCACTTTGCTCTGTTATGTTTTCACAGACAGAGTTCATTTCATCGGAGGTGATAAGAGCTCTGTGGATATCTGCCCATCAAATCCGACTGATGGATGGCATGAATCCAGGCGCAGGGCCAAGAAATGGTAGTTAAAAAAAAAAAAAAAACCCACAATATTTTCCTAAATGATCAGAGCCCATTCCGCTCAGGGCTGTTATCAATATTGAACATTACATCAGCTGTATCACTGACTCACCATGCTGGGTTTTTGAACGCTGCCATGGGCGGACGAGACTCCCTCACAGCGGGAGCAACTGAAGCTCAGGCATGCATCATTCTTTAATATCGTATTAAAGTGAAATTGGCTACATTTAAACAGACACGGTGATAAATCTCGTCAGCACTCTTGGCATAAGCTGATTTTATCTTGGAGGGGAGAATCACTGTCCCTGCAGAGCATCATCTTCTTACCTACGATTGAGTCCAGCATTATTGCACAATGATGGAGCTACTGCGCTGCTGGAGCCGACAGATTGAGAGGGTGAGTTATGGCTGTGCAAAGGGTTGAAGGTGTAGTCAAACATTTCTTTTTTTTTTTTTTTTTAAGGTCTGGAGTTGAAAGAGGACGGGTGATGTACAAGTTTGAAGGTTAAGAATGGACTTCGCGTAACTGATTTATTTCTTATCAATAATTAGATTTTTTACTTCGTTTATGTTTTTTAGATCATTATGAGTTTTGATTGTTTCACACCAAAAATCTGTACAAATGTCAGAACTTCTGTTGAAATAATATGTTGAAATGTCCTCTGCTACTATCTAATAAGCATTTAAGTCAAATGTGTGTACAGTGTCACCTTCAGAATGTCCTTTTCCCCTCAGTAATCCATCCAACTGAACACTTATTTTTAGCCAGCCTGTCTCCAGTGTGATTGCTGTGTTCAGACACCTAGACTCTAGGTGCATGATCACAGTTTTTTTTATTATCAAATTCCAGCAACACCATTACATGCAATCTGTCACTGCACAGAATGAAGTTTAAGTAGGT